ACTTTGAGCGTTTATGGTTCCTCATAAACAGAGTAACTTCGGAGAAAGAGCAATGAAACACCAGCAATATTACTGTGCGGACCCGTGACTCTCACACAATAAAGTGCATTCATGTGAGGGAGACCGGGGCTAGTTGTCACACTATATATTTCAGAGAATAATTCTCATGATATAACTAAGAATGTACACACAAAGTATTTTAAAATAAATTATTGCACATTTACACAGGATTCCAGTATGTTATTTAATTATATATTAATAACATAATTATATACCAAACCAGTTTTGGCCTAAAGAATATGTAATTAGACATAAAATTACAGCACGTGACAACCTGACCATGTGACAACTAACCCCGGTCTCTACTAACTCATTTAAAAAATTTAAATTAAGCATTACAAATCATTTGAGAATAACAAAACCAAAACAAGATCCAAATCCAGATTAATAACAATACGTGACGTCACTGCATGAAAACGATGTTTCTCACCTTGACGCTTTCAGTCGAAGAATCGCTCGCAACATTATAATTAGTAAACGACACACATTAATAAATTCAGACATTCTGTGTGCACTGAACAAAGCGTCGATAACCCGCCGCTCTCATCCTGCTGCGGAGTGAAGAAGCTCAGTCTGTCTACGTGTAAAACTCCAGTAAATAAAAGCTCATCGCGTCGGATTAAAACGCAGAAGGTCTCGAGAAGAGCCGAGTCAATGTGGAAGTACACAAAGACCACTGCGCATGCGCAGCTCCGCTCACACAGCGCCCTCTACAGGCGCGCCGCAGAATCTCATATCTACACATTTACAGTAGCTCAGATAAAAAATAAATAAAAGTATGATTCAGGCTTCAAAGGTTAGATTTAACTGTATTAAATTAAAAGCTGCTGATATGCGAGTTATTCTGGAATGGCTGTGTTAATGTGTGTAAACTACCTCATAAATAATCACAAACAAAATAAAATAAAATCCGATTTGTTACATTGTTGCATTTTGTGGTTTACACGATT